CATCAATCCTTATAGGGTTGGGCAGTTAGTTATTTTCAGAAGTGTACATTCCTTTTTGCTGAGGGTGTTCATTGTAAGAGTTGATTTTATTAACCGTTCAATGTAGAATTGAAGTTAGGACTTTCAGTTCCCTTATTACTGTTAAAGTGGTTATTAAACTGAAACGGGGAGAGAAAATCCAGATGCTGCAGCAGCACTTGGGAAATCTGTCAGCATTCAAACGTTCTCCCGTTTGAGCAAAGTGGAGCGCAGGCGCCGCTGCAGGTCCCTGACCGCAGGGCTCCATGTCAGCAGGGCTGTGGGTCTGGTTGACTTCTCGGAGACGCATGCTCTCCCACCAGCTGGCTTGGAAGTCATTTTGCTGCCGGTTGGGGTCAGCTGCTGCCAGCAAACCGTACTGCTCTCCCAAAACCTTCCCACTCCCTCAGCAAGCCCTCGTTCCCATATGCTGACCTTGCATTTCCCCAGTGTGGAAAGAGAACCAACTGAGAAACGGCCTTCGCCAAGCAATCCTCGGCCCACGTGGAAGCCGGAAATTCCAGAATGTTCCACATTGTGTTCTGATGGCATCTCGTTCTCCCCTTCCTGAGCCTCTTCCTACAGCTTTGCTTTGGGGTGCAGGGACGACATCTCCCCAGTAGCCCCTTAGGCTTTTGTTTCTCATGTGAGTTCCAAGGGAGGGGAGACCATCTGGTTGAGAAGATAAATGGTCCGTGATGACTTTGGTGAGTTATGTAACAAACCATTCCTGGATCTGTTCAGACTCATATAAACCCACTGCAGTCAGTGGATTCCGACTCCAGTGGCCCATCACACAGAGTAGGACGGACTGTTTTGTTGTGTTTTCATTGCAAATTTACAGAGCAAATTAGATTCCCATTTAACAATCACTACACAGATTGTTCGGAATCATTGGTTACGTGTTGCTCCCCTAGAGAAAAGGGGAGAACTGCCAGTTCTGGTTCCCTGGTGCTGCTCTGACAAGAATGTGCCACAAATGGCACGGCCTTAACAAACAGGAGTTTATTCTTACAATTTGGAGCCTTTAAGTCCAACCAAGTTCAAAGTGCCAGGCTCTAGGGGCTGGGTGAAAGCCCCTCAATCTTGGGGTCCAGCTCTGCTTCCTGCTCCCGGCCCACTGGAGCTAGAGGCGTTTCTTCACTCAGACAGCTGCTGGCTGCTAAGGCTGAGAAGCCCAAGGTTGACAAGTAAAAAGGCACAGTCCCGATGTTACGAAACCACACAGCAGACCATTAACTTAAGTCCACTCTAAGTTCCAAGGTCAGCAGAGCATGGCAGGCTGCTGAACAACGACACGGCTACGTGCAGGGTTCAAGCGTGCCATAGGCTAGAGATCATTCCCCAAGGCTTCTGCTTATATACAGGAAGCGGACCACATTCCCTAAGGCAGCTACTCAGCTGCTTGTGGTAGATCCCACCATGGAGTTGGTTGCCAGTCTCCTCATGGGGAATACTCAGCCAGCTGCCCAGCCACTCAACCAGGCCCAGCCAAGGTGACACACAAACATAACCACCACACTGCCCCACAGGCTTTCCAAGGCTGTTGATAATCTTTACAGAAGCACACTGCCTCATATTTCTGCCATGGAGCAGCAGTTGGTTCGAACAGCTGGCCTTTCAGTTAGCAGCTGAGTACTTAACCACTGGGCCACCAGGGCTCCTTCTTATATAAGACAGTAATAGCTCCTTATTACTAAGTACTTTTTGTAGCTGTTTCTGTTACAAGTGACACATCCTAATTTGCATAAGGAGGGAAAGAAGAAATGTTGTTACAGGTGTTTTTGAGAGGGTTGCAACATGTGGTTTGTGGGAAAGACAGGGCCTCAGTGCTACTCAAGATGGCGAGTCCCTGGGGGAGCTCAGCTGCTAACCGTAAGGTTGAAGGTTCAGATCCACCCAGAGGGGCCTTGGAAAAGGCTTGGTGGTCCATCTCTGAAAACTCAGCCCGAGAAGCCCCCGGAGTATCATTCTTTTCTGACACATATGGGGTCGCCATGAAGCAGAATTGACGTGGTGGTGACTCGTGTTCAGGGTCGACTTCAGGGATTTGCAGTGTAGGTGCGAATCTTCGAAACAACCGAGGTTCTGACACATCTGAATCGGGTGACTTCAGCCCTAAATTTAAAACTCCATTTTGAATTAAACTAAGATTTTCATTTTTACTTTTCGGAAAATACCATTCAACGTTTTGGTCAAAGTCTTTAATGCTTGCAAAACGAAGAGGTACAAATCAGCATGTCTAACCTGCGTAAAGAATTGCTTGGTATCTGTTCACAGTGTTTGTGTGGCTGGCGCTGGAGAAGGCACTTGGTCTGCAGGGGGGTTGAGAAGCAACTGACCGTGTTAAATGAAGTCAGAACGTGGAAATAACTTGATAGCTAGGAGAGCAGTATATCAAGTCTTAGTTCATATCCTGACTCCCAAATCAAACTTTTCTCTCACTAGGATTTTCCGCTGTGTTTCTGCAGCCCTTTGGGAATTTGTAACGAAAGTGGAGACTAAGTTTGTTAAGATAAGGAGACAGACTGCAGATGTCACAGCAGAGCCGCTCCTGGCGGCGTGTAAAACAGCTCTCGGCATGTGACAGCCTCAGAATGCAACAAAGAAGCTTACTGCTAATGCTACAAATCGTTTGTTGTTGTTGGGTGCCCTTGAGTCGGCAGATAGTGACCCAGAGTACAAGAGAATGAAACAATGCCCAGACTTGCCCCAGCCACACAGTCCTCACAATGCTGGAGCCACTGTGTGAAATCGATCTCATTGAGGGCCTTCCCCTTTTTCACTGGCCCTCACTTTACTAACCATGACATCCTTCTCCAGAGACTGGTCCCTTCTGACAACATGACCAAAGTAGGTGAGATGAGGTCTGGCCATTCTCACTCCCAAGGAGCATTCCAGCTGCACTTCTTCCAGGACAGATAGTTTAACAGATGCTTTAAATTTTTGCCTTGCTTCCTCCTCTTCCTCTGTGTGCTTGCTAGCACATATCCTTTGTTTGCTCCACCTTTTAAAACCCTTACTGTACCCCCTACGATTCGGAGCATCGCAACATCTTGTGTGCCCATTTTAAAATGATCCTGTTCCTTCAATAACATTTTTGTTTTAACTTCTAGCAGAGCGTCAGTCTAGTGTTTTCCAAGTCAGCAGCATGTGGATCACCTGGGAGTTTGCTCAGAATGCAAATTGCAGGCTTCACCCCAAACAGGAATCAGATCTCTGGGGGCGGGGCGGGGACTCTCTGTATGAACAGCCCCACCCCCACTCCCACCCCCACCCGCTGCTGCAAAGCACTGGCCTGGAGGACTGGTACAGCTGGGAGCAGTGAGGCCTGTGGAGGCAGACCCACCACCCCCTCAGTGACCTCCAGGAAGTGTCTGGCTCTCTAGGCCTCAGTGTGCTCTTCTGTCACCGTGGTATGTGGATCAGGAGGAACTGGGTGTGAAGTGGTTTGAAAGAGCGAAACGCCTTGGCAAGTGTAAAAATGGCTGTGCCCCATCTGACCTCCCACTTCCTTCTTGACCGCCAGCACCAGCCTGAGGCTGATTCCTATGCAGCAGCGTCAGACACACCCCCACTCTCCAGCCTTTTCACCGGTTCTGACCCCAGCCATCCCTCCCACGGCACTCTCCACTTCCCCATTGTGTTCAATGATTCAATGCAGTGGACACAGAACTCAGTTACGGGTTTTATTGGGATGTTAACAGTCCACAACTAGGGGTCGGGAATGACTCAGAGTTCTTCCATCCGGACAGCATCTTCTCAGCAGTGTGTGCCATGCACCCGGCAGAGGCCACTGGGGATGTCAGAGAGGAAGCAGGACACTGCGAGAGGGGCTGCCCCTCCTCAGGCTCCAAGGGCAAAATCGAGGTCTCCAGACCTGCCCCATTGCCAGGCTTGAAGGAGTCAGAGAAGGCAGACTCCAAGCAGGAGCAGGGGAGTTTGTCATGATGGTAACGCCCCACCTCTCCACCGCAGATCCTCCACAGGGTGCCTGGACACAGATGGAGACAGGGCTGTGGAGGCAGAGTCCAGCCTGGCCCAGCACTCTCCCATAGCCCCAGGCGCTGGTTCCCCTGAGGAGAAAGAAGTGGTCTGGGCCAGCCCAGGGACTCTGGGGGTTAACTCAAGGTGCAGTGAATTGCTTCATATGGCCTTTCTAGTGATAATCTTTGTGACTCCCATGCCATGATTGGGTGGGACTATGCAAATAAGGTGCTAGTGGCCCACCAAGGGGACTGGACAACATACTGCTAATGCAAATGAGGTGCATGGGCTCTGTGATGGTTAAGGTTGTGTGTCAGCTTAACTGGGCCATGATTTTCAGTTGTTTGTCATTGACCGCAGAACTCCTCCTAGCACATCCTCCGGGAATGGCTGCTGGACCTTCAACTGAGGAGATCTAATGGCCACTGGGCCCGCTGGCCTGGAGACGCAGGCGAGAGAGAGTCGTGACCCCCGGCAGGTGGCTTAGAGGCGGTGGCAGCACGCACGCGGCACCCTGGACACCCCACTGCGCGCTCTGCACCCCCCCCACCATGGGCACCCCGCCCCAAGCACCCACTCCACGCGCACCCCGCCCCGTGCGCATCTCAACACCACCATCCTACTTCGCGCGCACCCAGCCCCGGGCACCCGCCGCGCGCACCCGGAGCGCCACCGCCCTCTTTAGAAGGACCAGCGTTCCCGAAGAGGGCCAATCGGATCAGGGCTTGACGCAGCCTGAGCGCGCTTTTGCACGGGGATTGGGCAAGCCTACCGTCTGTA